CAATATATCACATACCCCCAGCACGGTGACCGAGGTACTCTCAGATGAGGTCCACGTCTGTGTGTGCCATCAGGACGTCACGTCACATCACGTCACGTCACGTCCAGTTGTCAAGGTCAAACAGGCGGAGAAGAATAGAGCCGTCAAGACGTGAGGACATTTGTATTGTTTGGCATCTTGGGAAATCCAGCACTGGTCAAAATAAGGAAATCAATACAAACGGCATTTGTGAGGCAGCGTGGTGGAATCAGGCTCTCGTCAATTTTAGACATGTAGAGTTATTGGTATCATCTTAAAGCTTGTTCATTTGTCTCTATTTGGATGAAAAATGTATTCATTTATCTTGAATACAAGTCGAGATATTTGCAAAAGAAGAAGGTGGGGTCACCTGTTTTCGGAGGTAAAATTAGTGAGAAAATGGCCTCCAAAGATTAGTTATTTCCTTAACTTAGCTTCCGTAACTGAAAATTTACATTTTATGTGCCTTTAATCAACGTTTTCCAGAAAAATACACACAAAATTGAGTTCTTTAATAGGCATGAAAGGTGTTGAGCCGATAAACAAAAATGTGATAAAATTCACAAACCTTCGGAAAAATGTTTCTTCATTTTGATTATTTTGACAAGAGCCTGATTCCACCACGCTGTCTCACATTTGTATTGTTTGGCATCGTGGGGAATCCAGCACTGGTCAAAATAAGGAAATAGATTTAAAAAACGGCATTTGTGAGGCAGCGTGGTGCAATCAGGCTCTCGTCAAAATAATCAAAGAGAAGAAACTTGCATTTTTCCGCAAGTTTGTGAATTTTTATCAAATTTTTGTGGGGGGTTTTTTTTGCTCTACACTTTTCATGTCCATTAAAGAACTAATTTCTGTGTGGATTTTTCTGAAAAACGTTGATTAAAGGAACAAAAAATTTAATTTTCAGTTATCACCGATTCTTAAGCTAAGGAAATAACTAATCTTTGGAGGCCATATTCTCACTAATTTTACCTCTGAAAACAGGTGAACCCCATCTCCTTCATTCTCAAATATCTCGACTTGTATTCAAGATATTTTTTTCATCCAAATAAAGACAAATGAACAAGTTTAGGATGATACCAATACCTCTACATGCCAAAAATTGACGAGAGCCTGATTCCACCACGCTGCCTCACAATTATCTATGTATTCTTATCTTTATTTTTCTCTATCTCCAACTCTTTCTCCCCCCCTC